GCTCCAAGCTGAAAGAGCAAGCAAGTCAGCATGCATTTGCTCCGGACAACGTGCGCAGATTTATGGAATGAATATACACATTTGAGATCACTGGCATAAATAAACGAGTTAGAATTTTTAGCTACCGCCGAGATATCATTTATGTAAATCAGGAACAAAAGCGGACTTAAAAAGGTGCCTTGTAGGACACCACTTACCGTAGGGCTCTCATTGTAAAATGAGGATCCCATCAAAACCTTTTCTTTACGACTAGACAGGTGTGACTTCATAAAGTCTATAAGGGGACTTTAAAGACCTAGAGCTTCTAATTTGACCAAACTGTTTCTAGGTGGCACTTTATCAAAGGCTTTACTAAGATCAAAATAAATAACGACACCAGATAAATGATCATGAGGAAAAAATAAAAGTGAATTGAGAAACGATATATGATATAGTTACCAAGAGTGATCTGGTAAAAAACCATGCTGCGAAGGGCTAATAACTTAATTGGCTAAGCAAAAGTCGGTAATGATCATGGCGATAACTTTTTCAAAAAAATTGGCTAGAAGGGTGTTTAATGGGCACTTCGGTCGTTTTGAACATCAGAACGACAGACAGACTTATATGCTGGAATAATAATTGAAGTTTACCAATAGTCACGAAAGAAGCCATTTACGAGAAATACTGAAAACAGTTTGCCAAGCAGAGGAGGAAAATCTCTTAGCTGTTTTATAAGAGAGTTAGGAATATTGTCCGTACCTACTGAGTGCGAGTTTATGAGTTTTTGAATAGTTTCAGAAGAAAAATTAATGATGCCGAGGGGGGCATCAGACAACGGAGGAATTGAAGGGATTGGGTCCGTTTTAATTGTGAAATGTCTGACAAAGAATGAATTTAACATTTCTGTTTTGCCTGACTCCTCTGTAATGAGGGTACTGTTGGTACTAAGCAAAGGGAGAATTACTTTGTGGGACTTGGTTGATGATCTCACGGAAGATCTGAGCAACCGATTTAGAAGGATTCACGCCATTAATAGCTAAAAACTCTATGCCTATCTATCGCAAGCCTCATTTCGGAAGCCAATTCAAATATTTCATCCGTTCTTAGATAAAGTGGTAGTGAGCTTACGGAAGGATCTTTAAGCTGCTTCCATAGCTTTTTCTGTCTGTTCTTAAGAAAATGTGGGACAGCGGGGGAGGTCTCACTCGACTGAAACGTCTCCCGTGGAATTGGGTGGAGAAGACCTTTTGTCCCACACTGTAATAAATCGTAGAAAAAATTTAGACCGTTATATGAAAAAATGGTTTGCCAATCATGAGTGCTTGTAAAATTACTTACTAATTCCTTCTTGATATTTACATAGTCAAAAAAACTTACGCTTTACTGTCACCTTTGCGGAGATGGCAACTGAAAGACGACAATTGCTCCTCTCATTTCGCGCCAATGGAGTATATCTCAAGTTCGTCCTCAACAGTGATTTTCAATTATCCGCCTATCCATACAAGGCTCTCTACTTGATAGCTTTTCTCCGAGCTCTGCATTGAAATTTACAACAGCTGAGTCGTTTTCTACCTAACTTAACCCTTGTCAATTTGTCCATCATAGCAATTTGCTGAAAATATCCAGCATTATTCTTAACATATTGAAAAGCTGGTAAACCATCAGTAATAAGTCACTCAATTATGAGAAGCACGTCCACCGAAGTCCCACCGCCGGGATTTGAACTCGCTACCTCCAAGACGAAGTGGCGGGTTGTTGACCACCAAGCCACGGACGGGCAGCCCGCGGCTGATCAGCCTAATTTGTTAACTACGGAACAGCAGCTGAGAACGGTTTTTAATTCACTAACGGTCTGTTGCGAAAAAGTACTGATGGGGTCATTAGACTCCCAGGATATTACGCAGAGTAGACTCTTCGAGACACAATAATAAATAAAGACCGGTGTACTGGCATCAGACATTGAAAGCTGTATGACATGTGAGACCTTTAAATAAACGCGGCTGTCTGAAGACATTACAGATTGAAAGATATCACTTAGAGGATGTCAACAATTCGGGAGAGATAGACCAAACCGCGCTAGATATTTCGGTAATCTCCGGATAGCAATTTATTGTGAGGGAAAAAGAAATCGCTGATTGCGTGATCTACGAAAACTATGGTTTATTACGTTTCTAAGCTCATTTCTCCATCTACTTAAACGGCGCCTAGCATCGAGCAGAGATGGATGACCAAAGTTCGAAACTCAGGGAGAAAAATAAGTTTGAATCAAATTTAAGCAGGGTTTACTGACCTGAGAAACACGATTGTTTAATACTGCTGTTTCCCTTTCGAGTTACAGACAACTACGAGCTGACCTCATGCAAACATTCAAGATCAAATGTGGCCAGGACTTCTCCGTATTTCTGATGACTTCTTCAGGTTGACAGTCACAATAAACCTGAGGGTGAAGCAGTTGGAGTTAAACTGGGGAAGCCTATTAAACTGGGTAAAGGACTTTCTGACCGGTCGATCACAGTCTGTATGTATTGGTAGTGCGAATTCAACGCCAGTGCCAGTTGTGAGTGGAGTTCCCCAGGGCTCTGTACTCGGACCAGTACTATTTTAAATTTATGTCAACGACTGTACGAATGGACTGGACTGCAATGGAGTCATGTTTTTCGATGACATCAAGTTATGGCGAGCGATCAACGGCGAACATGATGAACGGGCCCTGCAAGAAGGACTGAATTGCCTATGCGAATGGTCTGACAAATGGCTGCTAAAGTTTAACCTAGAGAAGTGCGTCGCGCTGCGACTCAAAACGACTGGAAGAGCTGACGGAGAAGATCACCATTACCAACCTGGTGGAAGGTGCCTTTCAAATGTAACTGAACAAAAAGATCTTGGGATTAACATTTTGTCGAGCCTTAAGCCTTCCTCTCAGTGCGGTAGGGCGTCCAAAAGGGCAACTAGTGTTTACTTTGCCATTAAACGAACTTTCGTGGACATAGACGAAGAGTTATTTAAAAAAAGTATACGGAGCGTTCATTCGTTCGCATCTGGAATATGGAATCCAAGCGTGGCGCCCGTGGCTAAAAAAAAGACTACAAGTTGCTAGAAAGAGTTCAGAGGAGAGCAACAAAATTGTAAAAGGCCTTAGGACTTTACCTCACAACTGCCGACTTAGGGAACTGAAACTTTTTCCTCTTGAGTACATGCAGATTCGAGGAGATCTCATACAGGCCTATCGGATTTTGAGTAACCGAGAATGTGCCCTAAACCCCGACGATTTCTTCACCCAGGCCACAAAAACAAACCTGCGTGGGAACTCTTTAAAACTTAGAGGATCCCGATGCCGCCTGGACGTTCGCAAATACTGTTTTCCACAGCCAGTCGTCGGTGCCTGGAACGGGCTTCCCGAGGACGTAATAATGGCGGATACCACGAAGACGTTCAAGCAAAGACTCGATTCATGTTTGCTTGGACACTAAGGCTTGTCTGACAGAACAGCTCTGTGGTGCCAAACCAACGCCTTGCATACACATACCGCTAATGCGGATAATTGTCATTCCATTTTACTGAAATCATCTACAACTGAATGTTCTCAAGTTTTGGCCCTACATTATCAAGGGCAATATTCTGTTAAGTGTATATATTACTTACAACATTTCAGTACCATGTTTAGTAAAAGTTATATGTTGCATGCACCGTTTACAATAGGGTTCTCAGAGGCATTGCCTATTACTCTTAAAATATACTGACCTATACTGACCTACATGTGCATGGAGTTTGGCTGGAAATGCAGAAGTTCTTTTCCGAAAATGGGCTAGGAACACGGAATGCTCCGAGGTAGATATCGCGGCGTTCACAACCGTAGATGTGTTCCAGAGGAAGTTGGACCAGTATAACTTTGTGCGTCTTCTGACCGGACCTTCCTTTTAACTGAGGCTTTCTTAATGATGTCAAATACCTACCCCGTGTAAGTAACGTCAATTTTTGATGGTAAATCCCTGCGCTCGCTGATGTATCGCTGAGCGCTTAACACCAACTAATATCGCACTACTTTCCCAGGAGAGCCCGTATACCTGACCTGACTTCTGTACTGCGTACTAACTATTGTACATATACTTGTAGATCCCATTAACACCTGAAATGGGTCGCGTTTCTTCTGCGTGTTTCATGTTAATTTTCCTGTCCTCAATTTTTGTAATATTCTCTGTTGACTATAACAAACAGGCAACTCCAAGACGCAGTCCTAAAGTCATCTCGAACAGGCTGAATTGAACTGAGCCGTGTTCTTGGCATCGAAAAATTATGCCTAATACTGCCTCTGTTCAACGAGCAAAGAATATATGTAAATTCTTTTTCTACTAAACAAAAATTCGTAAGATATAAAATCTCATGAACGGAACATAAAGGCAGGTTTGTGTATGTTTTGTGACTGTACACATGCGAACTAAGATGCAACATTTTCTACCGATTGCCTGTTATGAAACTGTAGTTCTTGTCGTGTTGCATTTTACTATTTTTGTATTTAATTGCATTTACGGACCAAACTCTGTCACCTTTTGTCTACTGCTTGACTTTCTAACCCCTTCTAGCTATTGTGTTTTGTTGGATATCTTTCTGTGTTCAGTGCTTTCAAAGTTACAAGTTGTTTTGGTTTTTGCGCTTGGTCCTTTATTTGTTCTAAATGCCAAAAGTAGATTGGTTTATTATCCAGTTGAAGATTTCACATCTGCCTATTTATCATGTCTTGTCTTCAATTTTTGGTCATCGTTTTGGACAACTCCCGCCTTTTTCTCTTCTGATGGTCAGACTTAGAAGTTACCGTTCTGTTATGGTAGAGACCGACTGGATGGTCTACGAGGATACGCAAATTAGGTTAAAGGTTGGCTTAAACACCCGGTCATCTGAATTTATGGTTGTTCACATGCACATGACTAACCTAAGTATTTCTTAATCCTGACTTCGAGCTTGCTTGAACTAGTTACCGTTCTCTCCGTATTTGGCCCAAGGTCACAGAAGTTTTTATTCTGAAAATGACGAGCAACAGCAGTGGCCGTACGTGTAGCGATCTGGAGCTTACAGAATTTGTTGGAATTCGTGTAACTGGCAATATTCTGTTAAGTTATTCTCGTTAGGCGAGCTACGAATTGCTCAACCGCAAGTATCGGAAGAATCATAAGGAACTCGAAAAAGCAAACGCTAAGTTTGCGCGTTCCCTCGAAACATTGGATGCCTTGGATGGCTTCGGAAAAGCTACGACTTTCATAGATAATGTTTTGGACGAGGTTTGCGGTTTTAAGAGAAAGGTACACTGATGCTTGGTAGTCTTATTTTAGGCCGATGCATATTTTTCAGAAGAAATGGAACTGGTGGCAGCTTGCAAAAGGCGCATAGAACACTTAAAAGAAGTGTCCGAGCTGGAAGGGAAGAGCCTTTGCGGGCCTCTCTCAGTTGGTAATTTTAAACACTTTGCACGCCGCACAGGGCGTTGCGTCTTTTTTCGCTGCTTCTATGGCTTCGTCTCAGTAAGGTACGGTGTGAGTGCAACAACGGATTTTCAGCCATTTCTTTCTTGCCCTTGATGCGTGATTAGGAGACACACGAATGCTTAGCCTTAGCATTGTGCTAGTCTGCGTGTAACTGACGAGGAAACAAGGAAACCTGCCCGTTTTTTCGTCTGCTTCAATGGATAGGGTGGGAAGACTCACATACCTCATAGATATTAGCGCGTTGTGCACTTTCTTGATAGCATCAGTGGCCAAACCGACATGCTGATATACCGCAAGTCCGACGTTAACGCAACCCAGAAATACTAGATAGGAGAATTGTTTTCACCTCTAACCTTGACTTCGTATCTTTCATCCAACTTTTGCTTTCGGAGGCCTCTCCTATCTTAGCCCCTTCTTCCATCTTCATCGCATTTATCCTAGCACTACTCATCGGATGTTTTAAATTATGGCCTGTAACAGCTGAATATGTTAAGGGACTCCTTCGTTCGCACCAGTCATCACCCATAGTATCCGTTCGGACTGATGATGATGATAAGACTGCCTTCATACACGATCGGCTTGTTTCTCACAGTTTTTGTTTTTTTTTCAGAGTGCTATACAGATTCCCTGAAGAGTATTGACACATCGAGCTCTGTTTGCGTCAAAAGTAGTAGCGTGAACTCGTAGGATAGATGACCGCACATAGGCCAGCCTAGGTTGTATCTGTATTGTGTTTGAAAGATCAGCCCTGAGAGTGCATATCATTATTTCCCATTGGTTACTAAAAACCTCACCAGATATAACGGCATTGCGAATTCCGTGGCAGTTCTCTGTCGCCACTCATCTCCACCTATACTAACTTTTTTTTCCAACCGTTATGGTACTGTGATAGGTTGCATTTCCGTGATTATGACGTAAACCTTCGACCCCTCTAGACAATCCCCTACGTTCAGCCGGAATGGCTGGTAGTGTGATCTTGGAAAACCCCGGAAATGGCCGTGAAACACGAGATGAAGTCTCAAGGCTTAATCCTCCTACACTGAATTCACAATTACAACCGCTTACCCCTCCCGAGCAGCGCGTGTTTATTGCGCGCTTTCACCGCCTTCTCGCTGATCACCTGTTCTGTCTGGGACACTACAGATCCGCTTTGAGTTTGGCCAAGTCGTCATCAGCCGGATGCCTTTGTCTTACCGACATATACGAAGAGGCCATTGCTATCAGTGAAGCACTTCTTCGAGGTGACACGGGTCCCGCTCACCAATGGATTCAAGAAGCCAACTATAAGTTGAAAAAATCGGAGGCAAGCCTTATTAAATTCAACATGTCCTTAATTCTCACCTGCTACCAACTATCATCAACTGCTTGTGGGATTTCTTGACCTCAGATAATTGTTCTGTGCCCCCGTGGCAACTTTTATGTTTTGTATTCAGTCAACTTTACTCACCGCCCCTTTCCTTTTTTAGTGTTTCTTTGAATTCGACATCCGGGTCTTTGAGTTGTACTTACTAGTCAAGTCAGGAAAACGGCTGGAAGCCATCCAGTGAGTGACTTTTTGCGCCCTTGTAGTGCTACTTAGGCGGCTCGACACTGGAGCCCCTTATTTCCGTACGGCTAACATCGTGTTCTGTTTATCGTACTTTAAATGACTTGCCATGCTTCAGTGCATCGTCGGCTAGTGTGTTCCAGAATTTTGCCATCTTCGCCAAATCTCTATCCTGAATCAAACGATCTGAATCTGTTTTCTTCAGACTCAAATAACTCTTTGCTGTATGTGCTCGGTTTATTGGGCATCATAAAGTGCGATCTCCGTTCACTGCATAGGCCGTATGTTAACACCGTAATAGCGTGGACGCTTTTCATTTCGAAGCTTGACTTTGCGCGTTCATGTCGAGTTTTGCTGTTGCTGTCTCCACTACTTAGTTGTGCTCACTGGTGTCAAACTTATCGAGACCTCGTTTCTTTACAACACGGCTATACCTTTAATTAGAGTTTGTAATCTCTCATTACGGACGTGAGGGACAGTTCAGGTTTTGTTTTTTTTTCGTACGACTCGGATAACTCGCGTCTCGCTAACGGACGTCACATTGGGATCTCTGGACATTTTGCTTATATCACCTAGCGTCTACTTTTGAGAGCGCCTGTGGAATTGTTTTATGCTATTGGCCACCGGTCATAGCCATTTTTTGGGCTACACAGTCCTCATATCCCATACAAACCCACCTTCCTCTTTTTTGCTCGTGCATTGAATTTTCTGCCTTAGCCTACGATCCGTCCCTTGTGAGCTTACGACATCAGTAAGTCCGCTCTGATTTGATGTTTCTTATTCATAGACACGCCCGCAAGTACCTCGCTGGTGGCCTAAAACCCGATGACTATCAGGCGACCAAACTGGGACAAGCGATGCTGCTTTTGGCAATGAGGACACCCGAAGAAGTTGAGCTAAAAGCGGTGCGTAGTTTGCCCTTCTCATTAATATTCTCGGAATTTCCCATGCTGAGGGTTCAACAACCTCTCCGTAGCGGGATACCTGTGTGCGAAGACAATTCCGGACCTCATAGTTTTTCGATAAAACCACGCATAATGTCCCTTATTTATGGTGTCATTCTTGTACGCTGTAGTTCCTTGCTTCCCTGTCGTTTGTTTAGATCACAATTCGGGTGTCTTTCTTATCTGTATTCAGAAACGTTGTAGGACACGCCCAGTGCAGCTTCAGTTTTGCTTGAATTTTTGGCTCAATTTCAATCTTTTTAAAATTCAAGAGAACCTTAAAACTCTTGTGTAATATCCTAGACGTTATAGTGTCGGGGCCCGCGAATATGACTTTGTTATTCTCTTCTTTACACAGGCCCAAAATGAACTCAATGAACAGTGGATATGCAAGCGTTTCCACGCGGCTTTCACAAATTTCTACTCATTCTCGTCTTTGACCCCCTTCTCACTTGCAGTGAAGGCGGGAATTACTGCAATCAAAACTCAGTATGCTCTTCTAACTATATGTCATTCTTTCGACATCTTTTTTTTAGTACCTAGCTGGGGTTTTGCAGTTTTACCATTTTGAGAACATGCTAATCCTTTTCTCCAGAATGGTATTGACTGCGTGCATCAAGATTCCTACTCATCGACCTGACATTGGTAACTTAGGGCTGGTTTTCTGTGGACAAACTCAATACGAGTTCATCTTTGGTTAGCCTATTCCGTCGCTGCCCAAGTAGTCGTGGTCCGAATACTATTCATTGTAATAAACAGATGTTCCATCGGGTTGGGGTTCACAAAACCATTATCTACACGCAGACAGACTGTCCCGAACCCCCCCCCCCCCCAGAACTCTCCGAAGAACGCCTTCCTGCCGCAGATAGCCCACTTTCATTGTATTATTCCAACATTTAAATAGGTAAAATTTTATTGGCAAGGTGTAGTAGCTTAAAGAGACCATAAGACCGAAAGGCTGGATTTGATGGCCTTTAAATCATAGTAACTACTGTTCTGCCCCTCATCCCATCACTAGTCCGATGCTTCCTGCGTTTATTCAGCCAGTCTTTATGTAATATGTTTGTATTTGCTAACCTTGAAGTCTGCCCAAAATAGGCCTTTTGAGGCACTGGGTGGGCCTACATCATCCTCATCCTGTTGGCGTGTTATTCTGATTCCTGTAGCTGATGGTGCACATAAATCACCTGTATTCTAACGTTTATGCGTACGTGAAATGACGTCCGCCCGTGGATATTAGCTGCTCAGGTTTTAGAATAGACCGTTTCTGGGGCTTCTTTTAGGTTACTAAACGAGTCTTGGCCTCCTCCGCATATTCGAAAAAAGTGAGGTATGATGAATTTAATGGCGTGGTTTTTGCGACTTTTGACGACCGAGTATTCTACCTTCAATTAAAATTGTGAGAGCCAACACCGGTCTGGCCAAGTCATTGACAACTCCACTTTATTGAGTTCTCTTACACTTGTCCATGGGCAGTTTTCGTCACTTCAAAACTACCCTTTCATGCTTGCCATCTCACTGCGTCCGAATCAATGCCTGCTAGTTCGGCTTTAACGACTTTCGAAACCTCACTCCACCGTCTAAAGAACTATATACCATTTTTATGAGACAAAGTCTGAAAACCACCCAACATGCCCCTGTTTACCTGGAAGTTTCCTGGAAAACCGTTCTTCTACCCTAAGACAATGGTACACTTATAACTTAAAGCTCCCCAGCAAGCCAAGCGCGGGTTAAATCTCCATTCCCATGCCTTTGCCATTAATAAACATTAATGTCGTTTGGTAGCTTCCTTTCATAGTGCGTATACGGCTGGTGAATACTGGTACGGCCATTAGTGAAGGTTTGCTTCGCAATAAACAGGCCTGCATCTGGCGAACAATCAGTCTTGGCCACCAGCGACAATGCTGCAGGATTCGGGGGTTTAGCTCTGACAACGTGACTATCCTGTAAGATGTCTCAGAGTCATATGGCCTCATTCTAAATAATTTTCTGTTGCCACTGACTTACAGGCTGGACCTTCACATAAAGCCCGAGTTGAGGTCGTCGGAAATGAACTTGTATCAAGCCCCCAAAACTAGGAAAATGCCGCTTCCTCGACCCGTGCCACGTCTGCAGGGACAGATGCGCCCGGTCCTCTGCCAGTGGGCCGGACGGTAGGTATTAGAGCAAACTTCTTCGGAAGGAGAGACCTGGCGCGTGTTGCATGTTTGGATGTGGGAATTCATCGCACATTGACATTGGCGTGTTACGATATGGATGCCGCTGCTTCTCCTAGATGTGATTGCCAGATAATGGCCAACGTGCATTAGTGTTCCATGAACGAACGACTGCTTCTGTCCCTACCACAGTAGTTTCATTGAGAACTGACATGGTGTCCCAGTCGCACCAAATGGTCAGATCAAAGTATTACCTAAACGCAGGCAGCCTTTGTCACCGAGGTTTGCATTTATAAGTGTTCGTGGTGTCGTCGGTGTCAGAGTTTTTGCGACTTACACCCTAGCGCTACATGCTGTTGACACACAGAAGGGGCCTTTCTGCAAGCAACTTCATGCCGTAGTCCGTACATCCTACTGTTTGGTTTCGTACTTGTGGGCGATTTAGATATTAGGGCGGGGGGATGCGATGTATCCACGTGGGTATTACTTGCCCACAGCATCGTGGGAAGTTGTTACGCAGCTGGTGAAGTTTTTGTCGAGTTCTTGGCGCTGGAACGACAGCCTAATCATTTGGGATATTAGCTTTGGCATCTCAGGGGACAACTAGTCAGCAAGCATTTCAGTGATGGTTCTACTCTAAGTCCGGTGAACCATGTGTTTGCATGGGCACGCCGCGTCGGCTGAGTACTAGCCATTGCGCCATACGTGGAGTCGGCAGAGAGGACGACACTCTTGTGGGGGCCTGGATACGATTCGGACTACTTGTAGCCAAAAGAGCGCGACTTGCGCCGAATAATTATGTCGGCTGTCTTAAGGACCTAACTGATGACATGGACTTTTGTCTGACTGCAGCAACTTTGCCACACCAACGTGGGGAAAACCTGCCACCGAGGTGTCTAGTTTAAAACCAACTGGGTCTAACTGGAATAACATTCAAATCTCAGGAGGTGCTAGACCTCACCAGGCGTCGCTGTAAAGGTTGAATCTCTAGTAAGACAACCCAAATGCCTGATAGGACAAAGGCCGCCCACCCTAATGATTGTGCGAACTTCATGGACTCGTGACAGCTCGCGCGCTGTACGATGCCACAACGAGTTTTGGGATTAAACTGACTTACGTCTAGAGTTCACTTCAGATAAAGAAAATGTCAGGCTTAATCCGGTTTTGAGAATGGGCCAGCTCTATAATCATATCGCCTCCGATATGTTAGACGATTGGTGTGTGTTCACGTAGTCAGCGTTGGACACGACGCTCGTGCCCAGCTTATTAACCCGGGGCGCTCGGTCTCCTTAGGTGAAACCCAATTTAAAGACGCCCCTACGTAGGAACATAGCTGTGACTGCAGTCCACTGTCTATGGAGTGCGTCCTTGTTGCGGTAGTGCAGCCAAACTACATCGAGGTACTCCTCGAGAGCTACCCTCCAGCAGACATTCGCGAGTGCTGCTCGACAGTAACAACCGACCTGTTTACACGGTCTCTTAAACAACACTGGAGAATCAGGGACCGTCTCCACAGACCAAATCGACGACGCCTTTGAGCCGGTCGCTGAGAAGGGATACAGACTGCTATCATTGCACGGGTCTTGAGGTTGTCGGTGAAGCCTTCCCAGCCGTCCTCCTCAGTCGCTCCCGCCCGCACAACGACGATCTAACAAGGAAGAATTAGTATGGCTTTCTATCGGCCGGATGTCATATTTGCACTGTTTGTTTCGCTGAACGCCGGAATACCGCCACTGCCACCAACGGCCTACTAGTTTATTCGGTGAATTTTGTTTTCGACTCTGTCCACAAACATTCTTGTGATTGATCATACTGCATAGTATCGTGCCACTGGAATTTCTGCGCCTATTGCAGGCTTCTTTTCGCAGAACTATTGCCCAAGTCCATGTGAAAGCAAGGAGGACGACTTATTTTATACCAATTCCGGCATTCGTCAGAACTGTTTTCCCACCAACTCCTTTAAGCTATGATGGCCATAGGGCTCTTGGATACGCGCTGGCAACGCACCTCGGTGTTGCAGTAGGTTGTGGTGTCTGCACTGCGGATCCGAAGCACGCTGACAACATTGCGACCCTGGTGAGCTCTGTTGCAGAAGTGCAGTCAATGAAATTTGCTCTGAGAACTTATTCCTCCAAGACATAGATGGTAACTGGATTTAGTAGTCGGAGATTTCCACCTGGTCACGGTAAACAGCGGAATGCCCGACTTCTATTTATAAGAGAGGCACCACCTGGAAGTGTGCCAACGATCACGCTTGTGCACACTTGCCTGAAATCGTCTCCAAGCACGTCTCGTAAGAATCCCCGTATAGTCGGCCAGCAAATCAACCCGTCAAGTGCGCCGATCTGACATAAAAGCACCGTCATTCCGGGTGTTTTCTCTCCCGAGCCATTCCCTGGTAGACGTTGTCGTGGTGTTGGCTGACCGAAGGCGTAAGTTAACCTGGTGAGAGCTGACTTCGGGCTAGTTTCTGGCTATGCGGTCTGTGGGGCTAACGAGTCAGCCGGCTCGAATATGCTAAGAAATTCGCCATTAAAGGGGTTCATTGGGAGGCCGCCACTTGAAGTGTGGAGATCATGGAACCGCACATAGGGGAGAGTTAATCATAAATGCAGGAAAGAAATAAGGAGACTCGAACAGTTGTAACTTCAATTACGCCCACGAAAGAGGGTCAGACACGGCTACACCACTGTAATGTCATTGAGTAGAGTCCGGAAAATCATATTTTTTCTGCTTCGAAAGTTCTATCCACGTCTATCTGTTAGGCGTATTTTGGGATAGGGTTCCGAGGCAAAATGAATGCTATGCTTGCGCCTGCCCTGCTTCCAGCTCATTCCTCTTCCTGTTTGTCCATTCTCTGGTTCTGTCCTAATAAACTATCTTTGGTGAGTTGCTGCAGAATCCAGCGTCAGAACTCCAGCAACTGACACTGTGGCCATCGAGATCTCGTGGCTACTCGTGCCGTTTGCGGCTGTCCCTACCGCCAGTTGCGCGAGCACGAAGTTTGGGAAAATCATGAGAATCTAGGTCACTTACAAGTGGTTCTTAGCGCTTGACTGGAAGCAGCTTTTTCAACAGTTGCTGACATGTCTTCTTATTACTGAAGGTCTCAGCGGGGCTGAACATTTTGTGTACTCTCTCTATAGAAAGGCGTAAAATGAGCAAACGTTGGGCACCACGCAACTTCTAGTAAAACTGTCTACAAAAAGATCTGCTAATGTCCACCTCCCACTACTAAGGCAAGATGACCTGGCGTTAGTTTTCGCATTTCATGACTATGGATTCCCTCGTGGACTCTAGCACCAACGTTGTTCACAATACCTCAACAGTTCTGGCGTCTGTCAGCATTCCACCCGCCGAAGTTTACCTAGGTCTCCTGTCAGACCGCCTATATATGGAATTGAATTACAGGAGCCTTTCCAAAAGAATCCAGTTTTATGTTTGCACTTGGACCTGATCTTATCGCTAAGATGATAGTCAAGCACCATTGTACCACTTCCTCATACTTGAGTGCCGTTGAATTCTCCTCTCATCCATCCACTTCGATTCGTGAGTATCTTTCGATTTTTGACAAGACATTCCCGTTATAGTTGGACGGCAATTCCGACACCTTTCCCGGTATGTAGCCGACTGAGTAGCCTTTTCAGTAGTAAAATAAACAAATGCCCCATCTCAACTAGCCGATATCGAAGGCTGGTACTAGCCAACGCCAAAGCTGCCGTCATTCGTCTGGTTGATAAAGGTGTGCTTTGATGGGACCCCGACGGGTCTTTAATAAAAAAATTATTTATTTATCTGATTGGAGCCCTATCCTGTGTCATTTGCTGTGTAGTTCTGTCGACCTCCATTGGCTGACTGCCTGCTTTCTGGTCTTGTAGTTTTTGTTACAGCGCCAAAGCCCGCCATCCAGACTGTGTGGTTTGTCATCCACTCATTAACCGGCTGGCTTTTGACCTCCCCTTCGGCAATTACGACCACTCTGTTCTCACTTGTTACCAGACCGGCCTTTTGATGAACGAAGAGAATCCACCAATGGCTCTCCCGAACGGCTACGTTTACAGCGAAAAGGTAACGCGATTTTTTTGTTCTCCACTCGTCTAACTGGTTTTGTAGTCAGCTTCGGATGTCCGTCTTTTCTAACCCCTTTCTCATGTCTTTTATAGGCAATCTCTGAACTGGCCACTTCTGATGGCATGATCACTTGCCCAAGGTCTGGCGAAACGTTCCCAGTCTCGTCAGCTCAGCGTGTCTTTATTTTATGAAGTCCTCACTGACGCCCTGTTCCCTCAATCAATATAGCAACCACTATCTTTCCTGACGTGCTCCATGCTGACTTCCTTTGTATACTTGGTCTCCTAAACTGAACTGGCGACCCACAAACCCATGCTTGCCACTAACTGCTGCTGCCGCAGGGAAGTCCTCCTTTGCATTCATCATCTTTCCTAGTCTTTCCTCGTTTCATAAGCTACAAGCAACGCTCCTGGCCCCTCCGCTGTGGACGCACCACGCCTGTCCAGCCCAGAAGTTTTTTTACCAGAAACATATACTTATGCAGTCAAACGCTTCCGTATTACCTGCCGACCTCTGCTTTCGTTTATGTGTGCACTATCTCTATCATGCTTTGCATCACTGTGTTGAGTATATGCACGAGTAGGTCCGCCTCTTCTTACGACTTCGTTTTAGTAGTGCTCCCAAAAGTACGATAACTACAGAATTGATTCCTATCGCACAATCTAACCGTGACCATCGTCATCATCCGCATGATTAATCGTTACTAGCAGCAGTGATAGCAGTGCTTAGTTTTTGCAACATTTAAAAGCCTCAACTGGATACTCTAAGACTTTAGCCACACCAAGGCTTGCGCATTAACTCATTTTGGTAGCCACAACGGAAACTTTCAATGAAACAGCTGAGTAGGTGAATCCTCAAAGATAGTCATTCAGCTAAGTACAGCACTCTCTACCGGCCTATTAATCACTCGTAAAGTGTCCGGCTGTCACCGTCAGGCTCGAGAATCGGTTTTCTTGTAGAAATCCCTGGCTGAGTGCTGTTCCGCTATCCACCGTATGCCGACCCGCTGAGTAGCCCGTAACTAAGCTAAAAGGTAGGACCCGTCTTTCTGAGGTCTCTATTGTCCCTGGATTGGGTGAGTTGTTGCATTCTGTACTTCCCCCTAAAAGCTGAAAATAGCCGACTTCTTACAATCCCCAGAAGCCGGTTTTGGTAGTTATTAATTATTGTGCGTACATTTGCCTCTTTTCAGGTAACACTTTGTTGACTTCTCTGCAGAGTTGGGTGAAAGTGTCTGGGTCCGGGTACTTTGTAACTGACCCGATTGTTTGGAGCAAGGTCCATGTGCAATGTTCGTAATCACGTTAGTATGGTTATCGTAGTAAACTTATAAATAAACGGGCCGCAGGACTGTTGTCCACAAGGTTCACGTCTTCCTGCAATTCCCTTGGATCATTTCCATTCACCATGATTCAGTACTACTACAATGTGAGTGGTACGGAAGGCTGCGACTTGTCTCTTCTGAATGTTGGTACCAATTTCGCTGGGCTAACTGTATTAAGGGGTTTTCTCAGTTTTGACTTCTACAGTAAACTTTCTGCTTAACATGTTCGGCCCGTTTTGCCCGCTGTCACCAAACCTACCCTCAGTTCACGAGAGGACACCTATGACAAAGAGCTCATGCAGTCTATAAGATGAGGACAGGACAGCAGTCACCGAGAGCTTGTGTTAGAGATTGACCAACTCTTTACTTAATTGGTTACAGTTAACTATTAGCAGTCATAAATCAGGCAACAGGTGAGCGGAAAAGGTGCGCCACACAGTGAGAGCTGAAAAACCTGGGTGTTCGGCAAGAAACACGGACGGTTATTTTGCTTTCATGTAATGCACCTTATTACTTGGATAAGAGGCAAATCTACAAAATTCTGAAGATCAGATCTACTACCATCTATGGCATCCCGTCTATCCCTCGTGAATCTCAAACGAGGGCTTTCAAATCCCCTCGTCACTTCGGACAAGATTGTGAGTGTTGCAACGCATGACCAGTAGGATGTTAAACAGCTCAAAAAGAGCTAAGTCGTTTCAACCAGAAAAAGCAGAATGAATAGCTTTTGAGGTAGGGACTGCTGGAAGCTCCTGCTACGCTATCAGAAAGCACTTCTGGAATCATATTTGCTGAGGCATTTTCTACGGCCTACTAAACGGGAGGTTTTGCATGAAGACATGCAAGACTGTGTATTTCTCTTCAAATAGCAAATTACTAGGCGGTTTTACGAAGATTGCCCTTCTGGAGCGTTGTCTCTGATATAAATTATATTTTACTTAGAGGTTCTTCTGGTTATAGCTTAATTCCCACTTGCAAGTAATCGCTGGCGGTGTACCTCTCCTGTGAATTGGTGGTGGAATTTTCTTAAGAGCAAGTTTTGTCAACGAGACATGCGGTCATTCCTTCCAGAAGTCGCTCCTATTCTTCATGGCTCCGAGCTACTGTAACATGAATTATCGTGAACGCTTGAATGTGTCGTGCCAAGTGCGGTGCCAACGGTCGAACTTATAAGGATAATTGCTCTGGGAATTCCGATAAAATTTCACAGAAAAGCTTGTGCGACGACCGCAGCCAGTGTTACGTCGGCTCACGTAAAGACTATCTTCGATCCCTTTCTGCGCTGCGTGGTTCTTGCGGTTTCTACTGTCGCTGGACGGACTTTGTTTGCAGCCACCTTGTAGGGTAGCTTAAGGTGTGCAGCTGCCTTTCCTCCCAGGCCCAATTTTAATTAGTTCACAGTGAGTCTCGAGTGATTTTCAAAAGCTGACGGGAACAAAAGCATAACATAACAGTGAATTGTTTGAATGGACTCCGTTTGGGATAGAATCCCACCCGAGTTCATCATTAGAAGATGAAAATTATCTGCAGGTTATTGGCCTGTTACCACTCAGCCCTTCGAGTCAGTCAGTGGGCATGTCTCCGTTAAAGATGACCGTGCAGCACATGGGAGGTTGACCGGGTGACTAATGGTGGCATACCTAGATGCTTCGCCTCCCACTGCCGATTTTCTTGTTAGCGAGCTTCTGTATCGGGGCGAAGTCAGAAGTGTCTAATGTCTTCATGCGTCGAACCGTGCGATAATTGGCCACTTCGTCTGGTGTTCTTGTATTCTTGCCGCCGATTCACGGCCTGTTCGACTCGTGTACTTTGAGCGACAGTTGTTACTTGAAAGGCAATAGACAGAGACTTAATTATTTATTTATAGGTCTTGGTGACGGATTATGCTTACTGCCAGTCATGTGAGGGGTTGGATCTTCGGATCACAATCGCTGTTGCTTGCATCTACAGAAACCTCCCCCCATTTGGGCCAATCACGATCGATTAGCAAGACGGGAGTTAGGCAGGCCTGAATGCCACTTCACCTCTCACCACTCACGAGGTAGCTGGAAAAAGGCGACTGTGGGGTCCTATTCTGTAGCCGTACCTGCAGTAGACAAGCCCCAGCCTAACCCAAACCCCTAACAGGTGCGGCTACGAAATAGGATCTTGCCGGCGACTTTTCGCTTTTGCTGCACTGTGAAAGACTACTAATTTTATTTTCATTTCTTTACTTGACGTTCTACAGAAGGACTGCAGTCGTTTTTAGGAAGCTACGTATGGAGGGCTTACATTAAGCGGACGAGACAGATGGTGGCCGTAACAAGTAACTTGGCATATGGCCGAACTGTGCCGGTCTCGTCGGGGCAGGCGAGGGACATTTGTTATTCGGATTTCGCAAAATTTAACGACTGTTGTAGAGGTCTTCTCCGCCTTTACCATGATTTTATGTGATTTCCCGAAAGAAGATTGTGGACACTGGAGTTTGTTATTCTTATTTGCTAGCCTTAAGGATTTCGTTGGTTTGCATGGCAAGAGGAATGTAGAATAGGTACCAGTTGCTCAATAAAGCAGTCTGGTGGGAAAGTATAAAGGGCCAGATAAAGATTATATGCTTCAAGTAGTGCCTAAAGCATAGTTAACCATATTATTGTAGGAGGTTCCCAACGGTCATTTCTAAATTCTGCGTGGACAAAGGATGTCTGTCCGACGTAGTATTGCTAACAAATAATGGGCCATTGACGAAACAGGTTTCATAAAGCCCGACCATCACTGTTTTCCCATGGTCCAAGAAATAATTGTGAGAATAACGGAATATCTGTGGGCAAGTGGTACTTCAGACTTAATGCAAGCTATTTTGCGAGACTCCAGGTTTTGGGGGAATGAGGAGGGGGAGGCGCGTATCCGCGTCGGATGGCCTTTTAGGACGACTACTAATAACTTCCGCCCAGTACCATTTTAAAAACAGCAGCGTCAATGGGCGCATGGAGTCGAAAATCGCTTTCAAATGGCACATAATTGCATGGATGCATTCGCTGATGGGTATTTCAAAGTGCACGGTCAGACTTTACAAGACAGTTTATTTGATACTTTTTCGTGAGAATAAGGTCTATGTATTTTTTGCATACAACTAACTAATTAAGTGGGGTTCAGCAGTTGAACCCAGTTTAAAGCAATGTGCGAATTAACCTAAAGTCTTATCTGGGGTCTTTACTGCCGACTTCGCACTTCCGGCCGATGCCCAAGACGTCTCCAACACCAGCAGCTTGACCTACATCGTGATGGGTGAAGTTCATTCTGCTGCCAGGTGTTTGGTATACCCTATTTGCGTAAATCTCCAACTAGTTTGGAAACCACCCATCAAGGGGGAGCACATATTTTTAAGCTATGGGGTCTAGCGAGATCAAAATTCTGGTCCCCAGATTAAATGGTCTAAATCTTTACGGCGAAGCAGCTGAGAAATCCTGGTTATGGGTCGAAGAACTGGAAGAAGTCGCTTTTATCACCTCAGGTCGTAATACGTCCCCATTTCGCTCAAAGATAATTATCTCTCAGATTGACAAATGTAGGATATACTGGTTGATTATTTTAAGAAAAAGATGGACTCACCGGAACGGATTTATCTAGGTACTGACGTTTCCATGAGCTTGGTCAGATCCCATTGTCAATACGGCGCCGTCTGATGCAACCTAAGGACACACTGCCAACCTCTGAACTCTCAGGGGTTGCCTACAAAATAAGTTGCAATGAGGGCGACTGCAACTATGTTGGGGAAACCGGGCGGAAATTGCAGACCGGCCTACAAGAGCACAAATCGGCTACTCGGAGGCTAGATCCAAACTCCCAACTAGCTACGCACGTTGGAGAAACTGGGAATATTTTCGATCT